ACAAATCACACACACAGCACCCTCACACACAGCACCCTCACACACAGCACCATTACACACATCACACACAGCACCCTTACACACATTACACACAGCATCCTCACACACATCACACACAGCACCCTCACACACAGCACCCTTATACAGATCATAAACAGCACCCTCACACACATCACACACAGCACCCTCACACACAGCACCCCTCAAACACAGCATCTATCACACACACAAATTGCGCCCTTCACATTCACACTACACCCCCTCAGAGACACCCACTGCACCCCTCACAGACACCCACTGCACCCCTCACACATACACACAGAACACCAAACACACACACGCACACACACAATACTTCCAAACATATTAATATTGTATATATATACCCCTCACACACACTGAACCCGTCACACACACTGAACCCCTCACACACACATACTGCACCCCTAAACACATTACATTCCAGACACACACTAGATCCCTTACCCAGCTCTGGATCATATACACACACTAGATCCTTATATACACTCTAAACCTGTTATATGCATACACTCACTAGATCTCCTACACATTCTGGGTCTTCAAACACACACTAGACTCCTGTATACACAAACACACACTGCACCACTTACACACACAGTACATTCCTAACATACACACTCTGAATCCCCTATACACACACTAGATTCCTTGTAAACAAACACATACTACAACCCCTACAAACACTACATCACCTATATACACACACTATAGCCCGTATGCACACACTTGCTACATCCCCTATACACACACTCTCTACAGCCCCTAGCCACATATGTATTACATTACACCAAAAACACAACACGACTAAAACCGACCTTATTACACAATACCACACCACAATCAGCTCACTCTGCACACACGCAAACCCACAAGCAGGCTCCAAACACATGCACAATACTCTTTCCTGGCCCTTTTGTCTCCTGGTCTCATTTATAGAGACACCAGAGACAAGTTGCAAGGAAACACAGTGCAACACAGTGCAAGCATATTATTAAATTTGCTTGCACTGTGCAGAACAAATACAGGGCTTTTTTTTCTCATGCTAGAGCTCTTTCGCAGAGCTCTGCGCATGGTCTGCCCTAGAAGAGCATTGAACTAACATGCTCACTTTGAGAGGGGCCGTGTTTGTCATTGGTGATGACGAACACCTTCTCTGCCCCGCCCCCTTCTTGTTGGACCGCTGTGATAACAAAATACCCAGACAGAATTTTTCTCCCAGTCTGGCCCGGATCCCTGCTCTTGGGATTGTTCTTTGGATTGCTATAATCACTAGCTCTTGAGAGCTACACTGCTATACCTGCTATACTCTCTTGGAGGAGAGGTCTTCTCACTGGGAGCTGGATCCCTGACTTGGGTCCAGGGTGAGAAGGGATGTTGACACCCCAGCCAAGCTGCAGTGGCTAAGTAGGTACGGTGCGTATGGTGTTCGGTGCGGGGCTTATGGTACTCGGCGACAGCTAGGAAGCAGCGATTGGCTAGGGCACCCAGTCAGGGTGCCAGTCGGTCCATCACATTCAGCTACAGTAGTTATTCTGTATCAGACCAAACTGGCTAGCCTTTGGTCCCAACATCTATCAATGAGTCTCGGGTGCGCATGACCCTGACACCATTTGTCCTCGCACCACCTTTGGTAGCTACTAACCACTGCATACCGGGAACACCACACAAGACTTGCCGTTTTGGAAATGCTCTGACCCAGTCATCAAGCCATCAAGCTATTCTTATCCTTGGCAAACTTGCCTCATTTTTTCTTCTTCCAACACATGAAATTCAAAAACTGACTGTTCACTTGCTGCGTAATATATCCCACCCCATGACAGGTGTCATTGTAACGATATAATCAATGTTATTCACTTCACCTGCCAGTGGTTTTAATATTGTGGCTAATCAGTGTATACATTTTAAATAATTCAAGGCTTCATAAAATCATTTATCTTAATTAATACAACTTATGGGTATCTCATCACTCTTGCTTTTGTGTTCACACATAGTCCATAAATGATCTTCCTATATTATAAAGATAATAAAGAGAGGCTCCTTTATTAGGGGAACAATCCTTATAGACAAAACTAACATTTACAAAGATCAAAGAAAGCAGAAAATAAACAAACTAACATACAATCAGCAAGGTCTTTCTCTATACATTTCAGATAAACAAAATGCACATTGGCTTTAATGGTTCACTTCAAAGGACGACCATAGAGTCAAACAGGCTGAAAATTAAACAGACTATTTCTCAATCTTTGCTTAAAGGACCACTATAGGCACGCAGACCGCTTCAGCTAAATGAAGTGGTCTGGGTGCCAGGTCAAGCTAGGATTAACCCTTTTTTCTATGAACCGAACCGAACCAATTTTTTTTGCCCATGCACATCCCTACAATCTAGTGTTTCAAGTTCACATCCCAAAACACAATGTTCTGCTCAATTAATGACATCAGATCTAATGCACTGATGCTAATAAATTGCAAAAGGTCTTCAATGACTAGGTTGTGAAAACAACCAAAACTATAGTTGGTCTTTAAAGAGCTAGTATGTTTCACAAAACATATTTTTGGGGTTTAAAGGTGGCTTTCAGACACATTGAAGAAATCTAACTTTTGGGGGAGAGTAGAAGAGTGGCAATCATAGAGGGATTAAGCGCGACTTTGTATCTGAAATTTGTATATGCATATTTTCTTCTAAATATTGACCAACAGATGATCATACAATGACGCGCTATTCTTTATTAGTTTCTCCTTTTTATTTAAAAAAAAAAAAAAAAAAGAATGTCTGCTTTTGCCACATGTCCTAACTTCTGCATTTGTGGAAGGACTTTGATCACTAAAAGCTTTCATTTATTTTCTTGTCAATATTGTTTGTTGACACTTTTGTTTGCTGATGCCTTGCGTTAATGTACTACAATAGGTTCCCTAAGGTTATCTGATGGCCACTCTGCTTTTTGCTTCCTTTACCTGTTATGCTATGTAGTTGTTGTAAATTAAACACTTTTAGATAGATATGGAGGACTGAACAAGCAGTAGCTGACTTTGGCCAGTGCGTACTAAATCCCCGATCGGTACATTAGTCACTCAGCACTCAAAAAAACATTGCCTCCTTCTCTTAGGTCAGTTCTGACCATGGCTGTAGTTCAGGTTTCAAGCAAGTTTGTGTAATCCATAATTAGCTGTGTAAGTTTAGCTACTAGCGTTTAGGATTTCAGCATGCACAGCCACAATACAGTGCTTAGCCATCTCTCCTTCACTGCCTACTTTGGGAATATTTACAACCGGGCAGACAATATCACATCAAACGTTTGTTAATTCGCCCAGAATGCAATTTACCTCTAACCAGCGATAGTGCAGTTTATTGTGTCTGTGTGAAATACACTTTTTCCAACAGTCTAGGTGTGTTTAGATTTGGAGAAGCTTTGTACCTTTGCGTTTAATTATATATTTTTTAACCGTAGAATCTTCCACAAAAATAATACATTCTCACTCAGATATGTTTTTTTTTTGTTTTTTCTACAATCTTCATTTAAACTTTTTAAACTAAAACAAAAAGAACTTCTACAATAAAGGAAATATTGAAAGAGAGAAGTGTGTATATAAGTCCAGTATATAAAACAAAGTCAACGTTTAAAGGCAATCTCGTTCCACTGAGTAGTGTAATGTTGTGTCCCGTTTGATATTTTGATGCTAGTATAGCTGAGAAAGGCATCTTGGTTTCAGCATTGGCTGCTTAATAATAATTAAACCAAGTGAAATCAACCCATTGGTTGAAGGTAAGAAAGGAGAGTACGCTAAGAAGGGGAGAGTAATTAAAGGGACACAATTCACCCATTCTACTAATCTACGAGTTCCTGGAGATCTCTCTTCCCCTGCTTTACCTTAGAATTATACTCTTCTCTGTAGCATAGTTAATGAAAACATATATAAGCAGGGCAAGGATAAGAGTTGTTTGATATTTAAGTCTTACGCTGCATTCAAATGTTTTTTAAAAATGTTGGCGTGGTCACTGTCACCAAACCAATCATGTAGTTACAAATGTATGTGAATATTAGAAAAAAAGAGCTTTAAGAGTTTGATTTTTTTTTTTTATGTATTGTATAGTTACAAAGTAATCTGAATTGAAAAAACATTAAGGTCCATCAAGCTCAACCTTTAAAACACAACCTTTTTATGCTGTTGATCCAAAAAAAGTCAAACCCCCATCCAATTTGATGTGTTGACTAATTATGCAATAAAAAAGGGGGGGAGGGAATTATTGACTCCATAGTGACAATCACATTTCTCGATCTATCATTGGATATTAGGTGAGCAGGTATTATAAAACCATTGATCATGACCATTAATTACAACATTATCCGCCAAAGTGTAAATAGCCAGGAACTGAAATTTTAGTTAAAAAAAAAAAAAAAAAAGCTCTTTTGGAATAATTTAATCTACACTTTAAATACACTCTGAATCCCCTAGAATTCACACATAATGTGTATTTGACTGAATTAAAAAAAAGTATCAAAACTCCAAACTGTAGGATTACAGTTGTATCAAAACTCTCATTAGCGACAGTTCATCCAGTAAATATGTCATCGATTTGCTATGATTGCTACTGATGAATTACTAAATTTAAGCATGCGGACATAACTGGTGGCCCGCATAACCCTAGCTACACGCAGAGCAATCGCAGAACTATGGGCAGACCAACGGATCCCCGAGATAACGACCATCATCCGCAAAATAAGAGAAACACGCGACTTAGATGAAATAACTGCGCAATTACACGACTCGTACGCAGCGTTTCACCAGACATGGAACCTCTGGGATACCAACTACCAGAACTTGGGCATAACACTCCCATAGTAATACCCACCGACACAATCAGACCCTCCTGAGACACCCTCCTGACTATTCACCCCCCCCTTGGTCTACGGGTGAGGAGATCTTTAACTTAGATGGTCACCCACACCCTGACATTATAGGCACACTGCAGTCAGATGAAACCGCACACAAACGACATGAAAAGGCCACACTGACCCGACCACAAATAACACAGCCCTCACGAGCCCCACGACACACAATCCCTCCCGCCCCCCCCCCACCCCCACCTGCTTCCTTCCTCCCTGCCAGCGAAAAAATAGAACACTTACACCAGAAAACCCTCTCGGGCCCTCCCCCCACCCTAAGGGCCCGGCCGGGGCGGACGCGCGGACATGGAGTGGGACCCCTGACCACACACCACTCCTTTGGGTCCCTCAAAGGGAGAACAAGAAACAGAGAAGCGAGAAAGGGCAAAGAGGGAAGGAGACACACATACACCCACACCAGCGTAAACACTACACAAGGACGCAAAAGCAACAGCACACCCCAAACCACAACACGAAACAACTGCTCACAACCAACACCGAAACCCACAGCTATAACAAGAGCAACCAAGACAAGACATAGACCAGTAAAGGAGAGGGTATCGGACCTGAACCACACCTACTGAAGACACCGATCACAGACCCCCAATACACCACGACCAGCCCCTCCCCCACCCTCCCCACACTTCACCGCTCACTCTCCACCAACCCGGAAAGAGACCATCCCGAAACAAATAAAACAGCATATCAGAACTCAGAACCACAGATACACAACAAACAAACCAGAAGAGCTCCTTAGCCTCTAGGAACGCCCAATTACCCCCCAGTAGGGGAAAACAACGAGAGGTACCACCAGACAATATGCTAACACGCTTACACACAGCCCAGAAGCAATACAAGCGACCAAAAACCTAAGGAGGTAAGACCTGACCGCCCGAAGACCCCAAAACCAAGTACATACGAGCACCAAGGCAATGGTCAGCTTAGATAGACACCAGACTAAGGCTACTCCAGAACACGACTTAGATAAAACGAGATCGACCTGGGACAATGTGCTTGAAAAAAAAGTGTTTGTAATATGTTACCCCTCCCTGCCCCTTCCCCTTTTTTCTCTGTTGTACCCACAACCCATACCATGCCAAAACTGAAAACTTAACAAATAAAGAATTTATAAAAAATTTTTAAAAAGCATGCGGACACTTTGGGCTGTTACATAACATATCCAATTATCCGACATTGCTGACAAGATCATAAAACAAAGTTTAAAAGATAAAAAATGTTTTTCTTGTGATTTACTGGTACTTTCTTCTTTTCAATAATCTCAAATGTTTCCATATATGTGTTAACACGAATGTTTTCAAAGACTTATTGATTTCCCTTGCTATATTTCATAGGCAGTTCTGGGAGCAGGGCTATGGAAAATGTTTTAACGATTGCACACAGTATCAAGGAAAGGCAACTGCCTTTAGCTGGTAAAAGTCAAGGGATTCAGAGGCTTAGTTGAAGAATGAGAAGCCTGCTGCGTTCTTTCTTTAAGACTTCATATCAGCTGGAATACGATTTTGCTTCAGTCTGTTCACACGCTATTTAAGAGGCGTTTATGGTATTAACAGGAAGGGTAATCAGTTATTTCTGAATTCTGGTCAAATTTCAAAACACGTACCCATTAACTTTGTGAGTCAAACTGTCGGGGAGGGGGGGGGGTTTAAAATAAATGAGTTTGAAAGTTTTGTGAAATTTGAGATTAGGTAAAAACATGTTCATTTTATTATTGAGGATAAAAATTGTAGTAAAAGCACCAGGTCACAAGCAGTTATAGCATCTCTTACAAATGTATAAACAAATTAATAAGCCTAATTAGAAATATATAATATAAAACTAAATACAAAATGTAATCAACCTACGTTTTCTATTTTTCAGGCGTATTGTGTACTTGTATTATTGGTTCATTCATTGTTATTCACTAAAGTGAGATTTCAAAGGGAATGCAAAGTGAATTTCAAATCTAAGGTCAGAGTAGCTTACATTTGAAATTCACTGTTTGAATTTCTGACAGTATACATGATGGAGAATAATTCGGGATTATTCTAACCTTAGTGACCGAATAATCTAAATTTTATTAAAGACAGGAGGCGAATATTTGCTTTTACTTTCTTTACTGTTACTCCCAGCAGCAAAGAAACAGTTAACAGTAAGTAGAAAAAATTTAACCAATCAGAGTGTACAATAGATTATGTCCAGTCATCAGGCTCCTCCCAATTCCTCTTTCGTGTTGCAGCCGACCGCCGTAGAATCAACCATGTAAACGGTGAAACAATAAACGTCTCAATTGTAGTCAACCATGTAAACGATGTGGGAACATAGGTAATTCCTCGAGATGTAGTGAAGAGTTCTCACACTAGGAAAAAAGAGAGAGAGGTCGTGAAAGTATGGTTTCTTAGGTAAAGGAAAAACAATACCTAATCACGTTATCTGATATGTTTCCAACAAGTTGTACAGTCCTAGTTTGACAAGTCTTAAGTTATGAGATAGTGAGTGTAGTATCCGTAAAGGAAGTTGTAGGAGAGACCTGAAGCGTAGGTTATGAAACATTGGTGTAGGCAGTAGAGGTGTTGTGGAATACTTACCTAGTTGGGTTGGGTGTGTGTATTAGCGGGTGGGAAAATATTCGCCTCCTGTCTTTAATAAAATTTAGATTATTCGGTCACTAAGGTTAGAATAATCCCGAATTTTATGGCAAGACAGGAGGCTTCATATTTGCTGTTTTAAAGCGATGATATGATGGCAGTAGATACATGAGGGGGTTGTCTAAAATAAAAAGTTCGGAAGGTGGATTCTCTAGACCAATCAGCGGAAGTGAGGATATCCGTTAGGGAGCCTCCAGATGTAAGTGCAGACGAGGCGGCCGCGCCTCTGACTGAGTGAGCACCAAAACATGGGTCGATACCAGCTAGGACTAGAAGCCATTTGATCCAACGAGCAATCGTGGGACATGACACTGGCTTGTGAGGTCGAACGTAGGATACCAGTAGGGGTCCCGTTCGTGGTCTAAGGTCCTTGGTGCGGAGGATGTAGTGTTTGACACAACTAGCTACGCAGAGCATGGGTTTGTCGTGAAAATAAGGGTAGCTTACTGTAGATGAATTGGTTTTGGTGCGTCGGGTAATGGAGAAGTGCACTCCCTCAGGGGTAAAGTCCACCGCGTGGACATCAAACGCTCTGATGTCCGAAACTCTTCTAAACGATACCAAACAGAGCAGTAGTGCCAGTTTGGCCGACAGTTGTCGAAGAGAGAGCTCTCCGTTAGGAGGCCACTCCTCCAAAAATGATAATACCATAGTAACATCCCAAAATTGATTATATTTGGGTGCCGGTGGTCTCGCAAGGCACATGCCTCGCAGAAGTCTACATATGGAGGGGTGTTTACCAACCGCGGAGTTATCAACCAGGCTATGGGCTGCCGAAATGGCTGAACGGACAACGTTAATTGACCGATAAGACTTACCCTGTTCGAAAAGTGACGCCAGGAAGTTCATAATGTTGATCAGAGAAGTTGAAAAGGGATCAGCGTCCCTCTCCAAGCACCAGCTATTCCAGCATTGCCACGCTGAGAGATAAGAGCATCTTGTGCCCGGTGCCCAAGAGTCCCATAGTAGTTTTTGAGCAGTAGTCGAAAGGCCTGAGACATTCCAGGATCCCCTGAAATGGTCCAGGCCACTAACCGAAGGTGACCTTGTAGTGCTAGTGGATGGAAATTGCCTGAGGGGTCCCTGAGGAGATTGTAAGAGGTGGGTAGGAGTAGGGGGTAGTCCACTGACATCTCCAGGAGATACGGGAACCAAGGTTGAGTTCGCCACAGCGGGTTACCAGAATTATGGTGACGCCCTGAGTTCTGAGGTATTGAATCGTGCGAGGAATCATGGAGAATGGGGGAAAGGCATACGCTCCGGATGTTGGCCATGGTTGGAGAAAGGCGTCTACTGCCAGGCACGCTGGGTCTGGGAGCCAGCTGAAGAATGAGTCCGTCTGACGATTCAGGCGAGATGCAAATAGGTCCAGGTTGAATGGTCCTCTCAGGGTCTGTAGATGATGAAAGATTTGTGGATCCAGTTGCCAATCGCTGGAATCCCTCCAGTGGCGTGAGAACCAATCTGCGACGAGATTGTCGGGGCCCGGGAGATATTCTGCACGAAGGGAGATATTCCTGTCCAGGCAGAAATGGTACAATTCCTTTGTCAGATCTGATAGCATCTTTGATCGTGGGCCACCTAGGCGGTTCACATATTGTACTGCTGAGACATTGTCCATCCGCAGGATGAGGCTGCAGTTGTATGCCTCCTTGGCAAAACTGCGGATCGCGAAAGAACCAGCGATCAGTTCGAGGCAATTGATATGTAGTGCCCGTTCTGATGGGGACCAGAGGCCTCCGGTGGAACGTTCCGAACAGGTGGCACCCCATCCGAGGAGGCTGGCATCCGATTCCAGAATGAAGTCGGGTTGCCGACCGAAGATAGCCCTTCCTTTCCAGGCTTCCATATGTTGAAGCCACCAGTGGAGTTCTAGTTGGACTTCGTCCGTGAGGAAGATCTGTTGGTCGTAAGACGGTGAGCGATGTAAGTAGTGTGTTCTCAAGCGCTGCATCGCCCGGTAGTGTAGCAGGGCTGGGAATATTGCCTGGATTGAGGCGGAGAGTAAGCCGATTGTGCGGGCTAAATCCCTGAGTCGGAGGCAGGCCCGGACTGGCCATCGGGCATACCGGGCAAATGCCCGGTGGGCCGCGATGGCCGTGGGGCCGAGGCCGGCAGGGAGATCACAGGATCTCCCCTGCCAGCCCGTGCAGGGCCAGCGCTATCCGAGCGCCGGCCCTGCATAGTGCCTCCACGGGCCGGTGGGGAGATCGCAGATCTCCCTCACCGGCCCACAAGAATGGAGATGCGGCCGCCGGCTGGGTGAGGGAGGGAGGACCCGGCGGAGCTCTAACAAGCAGCTCCGCCGGGTCCTCTCGCGGGATTCTCAGCTCTCGCGAGAGTGAACTCTAACCCGCAGGTTAGAGTTCACTCTCACCACTGGACCACCAGGGAAGCATGCGAGAACGGATCTCCTCCCCCCCTCCCAGGATAAAGGTAAAAAGGGAGGGGAGGGGGAAACACATAACTTTTTTTTATTTTTTATATTAATAAATAAAAAAAATTATTTAAAATAAATTCCCTAATAGCCCCCTCACACACACAGCACACCCCAGACACCTGAGCCAGGGTCAGCGCCTTAAGCAAGGCTTAACTAGGCAGTTTGTACATATGTGAGGCTCGCCCCACGCCCTAGCCAGAAATGCTTCGAGCCAGCCTATGGAGAGCCAGCCAGGCGGTTGTCAAAGAAAAATTATCAAGTCGCCAGTTCATGACAGCCGACTGACAGGAAGCAACACCAGTGTGCACCTCCTGTCAGTCCACGGTCACGGACCGATAGGAGTCACACGCCACAGCAGGGCAGGAGGAGGAGAAGCTGCTGGGAGTGGGGGAGACGATTAATGGGAGGAGGGGGGAGATGATGATGATGGGGGGGAGATGGGAGGGGGAGATGATGATGGGAGGGAGGGGGGGGAGATGATGATGATGGGGAGATGGAG